ATATATATATATATATATATATATATATATATATATATATATATATATATATAAACAAAACATAGACAGCCATTATTTCCACTTAAGTAAGGTAAAGTATAGAAAATCAGAATATATGCACATGGGATAAAACCACATGGAGAAAACCTGGAAGGTCAAGGCATCAGTGGTGCCCATGTTCATTGGGCCATTCAGGGCAGTGACCCCCAAACTTGAGGTGTGGTTTTCAAGTAAACAATAATAATTAAATATTTTCATGCTGTGGGATTTGAAAAAAGGGAAACCCAATTTTTTTTTTATTACCGCCACCTGTTGGGCTGAAGGTGTAGTTTAAATTTCTCTTAGGCTGAATGGAGCTTAAAGGGAAATTGGAACAAATACCTATTATCGGGGCAAAAAAAAACTTCAGGTATTACATGGAAAATCTACTTTATACCTACAGACAGCCCCATCTGGAGCCTATTTTCCATCACATATGGAACCTATATATAAAAGATTGCTGACAAAAAGATCAAAACTTTGCTTCTTTTTGTTTGGTAAAGGCTGAACAGGAATAATCCCCACTGATGAAGGTAAAGAACTAGAGTCAGGAGATTTCTCTGCATCTAGCTTTTAAATGCTGCACTGAAAAAACAAAACTGGAAGTAGATACGTCACTATGAATGAGTATAATGCGTAGACGCTTTATCCAAAAATGATAAGGTGCAGTGAATTTAAACTGAATTATCACCTACGTTGCTTTATTGATATTATGTACTAAACACAAGGGAAAAAACTGATTAGTTCTTAAAAAATCAGGTCAGTGTTACATGCACTTCCAGCAAAACAAAGCAGTTCATTCTGAAGGACAGCAATCAGATGATGAGCAATTTACGCCAGGTTCCTGCAAGATGGACACCCGATTATCCTCCAGTGCTGCACAAAGGATCAGTTTGAGCTCTTTAAACTGCTGTCTCCAGCTAACTAAAGCAGATACTACAAACAATATAAGATTTTAATCAATCTAGTATTTCAAATAGTTATTTCTGATCGTTATTTTTCGTTAGTAAAAGAGTGAAAAAAACAGAAGCTTTATAATTACTCAAATTAACAAATAAACAATTACTCAAATTAACAACTTTCATAAGAGTCATTTCAATATTATTGTGTCTTCATCCAAATACTCTGTTTCTTAGCTGCTTAAAGCATTTCCGAGTTGGCCCCAATAAATAAACAGAATTCAGGGAAAAAGAAGCAACATCATTATTTCTAATTTAATACACTTTGGAATGCATGTCAAAATGAGCACATATTTGCCAAACACAACAAATAATAACAATAATATCTTAGAATCTACTTTAATTTTTTTTTTTTGTAGCGGGTTCAGAGGAGCTTTTTAATACAATTTTGCAAAGGCTGTTGTAGTGACTGTCAAGCAGAATTTCACCATTAAAGGTTTTTTTTTTTTAAAGGCTGATGTCAATACTGATTACATTGGGAGGAAGATTTGGGGATTCTCCCATTTATTGATTATAAACTAAGAAAGAATGGGTCCATATATAATCCAAGGTGGCGGTCTATAACAGCAGGTTGGAAGGATGACAAATTATAGTGAGTGTGAAAATATGATGAAGATTAACTAGTATGTAGCTGCAAGGGAGCGGGAAAAACCCTCTGCCCTGTCACCTCTGCACCCATACAGCTTTCTCCACACTGACACAAGTGGTCATAAAAGGCAAGGCAAGTTTTAATCTGCATGTAAACAAACACTTCTATCCAAGCCATACAAAACAGACCTAAACTACAGTTTAACCAAATAACAAAGAACAAATGGCTTCTACAAACTGGCCCTGATTGTGTAAACAGCACAATTCAACCAAGAAAAAGAAAGATGAGCCCCAAAGGTGTGTAGCCCAAAGCCTCTTCCCTTTGCCTCTCCTGCCTCAAATAGTTTATTAAAGGAGAAACATTTGGGAGCTGGAGCTTTCCTGCTGTCTGTGGACAGAATTTAATTGACAGTTTGAAAACTGGTCAATCCAGAAATAAAACTTTGAAAAACACCATAGAAAAAAGGATACTGCTTATGAAAAAAAATAAAATAAAATTCTAGTAACATTTTTCATATTTCTTTTTTGTTTTATTTTTTACTTTAGTTTTTTTCAGTTCATTTTTTACATTTTCTTTAAAAAAAAAAAGACTTTTTTAACATTTAACTTACTTTTTTTTGTTTTGTTTTATTTAATAAAAATTGTTCACAGTTAATTTTGTTCCAGTTTTCTTCATTTTGTTTTATTTTTCCTGAGTTTATTTTTTCAAACTTCTCTTCGTTTCTTCTTAGGTTGGTCTTTCCTCTGGAGGGAGTAAGCAACATTTGAATTAATCGATGCAGCATCAGCGAGTGCCTGTGTTGTTAGTGAAGAAAAGATTATCTGCTGCTTAATTTTTTTATTGTCAGCAATAAGGTCAGACATCCAGTAAAGAGTGTCCAGATGCGTCTGATGCTTCTGCTGCTCCTGTGTTCAATGGCAGGGAGCGGTTTGCTGTATTTGCTGTGATCATTGGGTAAAAAGTAGTTTAAATATATTTTTAAGTGAGAAAGTCCACCTGAAAACATCGTCTGTGCAGTCAGTTAATCCAGATTATGATCAGTGTTGCCATGTAGAGTCGAGGTTTTTCAGCCCGAACATCTGTTAAAAACCGTCACATCGCACAACAACCCACCAAATTACTGTATTAATTCAACACTACAGGTCGAAATGCTACAATCCAACTAAATCTGCCCAGAGTTGTTCTCCATAAACAACTCTGACCGAACTACTACAGCGATGTCAGATCCAGGGAGGGTCATGTGACACATCAGATACAGTTATTAACATGTTTGTAGATGGATTCATAGCCATGTCGACTACTCTTCTTTTTACGCTTAGCAAGAAAACTACGATTAGTTTTCGCCCACAAATACTGTATGCTAAGCTTATTTTTAAATAACTGAAATAATTACATTTATTATAGTTGATTTTGAATTCTTACCTTAAATGCCTATTTGATTGTTGAATATTGAACATCTGAACGCTAAACTTTTACTGAGGTGAACTATAATACAATCCACTGTAATTTGTGATCAGTACACGGTTGAATGAAATTTCCCCAATAACTGTTGGGGAGGACGGAATGTTGCGATTTCTGGATTCGTCTTTAAATAGAGCAACTTGGGGAAAAAGCTTTTTCAACTGGTGCAGTTGATATAGGGAGGGTGAGGAGTTTAATTGCACCAAACGCTAAATCCCGAAAGCAGTGGTTTCCTACTGGATCTTTGAAAGATTCCTCTTCCAACCAGAACGCATCCATCATCAGCACCAAGTTTATTACACCAGATCCATCTGCTGCTAAAAATAGCAATGGAGAAAGGTCAGGAGGCCTTGCTATGAAGCAGTAATGATGAATGATTGGTGGACGTGTTTTAATAGGTTAACTCAAAAACCGCCCTAAAAATCAAAATGAAAACCTGGCAACACTGATTACAATCCTGTTTTCAAATATTATTTCGCTGTTGAACCAGCACAAAACCCCGTACACCAGAGGTTGGCTGTCACAGGGAATCCCCTTCAACAGCAGCCTCTGGCCCGGTCACCTCTTAGGGGGGGGGGGGTTCTGCTACTGTTCATGGCAGCTGGAAGGCATTTTTCCATGTATGTAATCCAAACTGCAGGTACAGTAAAAATTCAATTTTTCCAACTCCAGCAGCTGCTGCTTGTGAAGCGTGTCATGCGCCTCAGATGCTCAGAAGCTCATGAGACGCCGCTTCAATTGCTTCGATGCGTCAAAATGTGCTGTTCCTGCTGCTCTAGATGTACTGCAGGACCTTTTGATGCTCCTTGATGCGCGTCAACCATAGACTTTGCATGTAAACCAGCTGTTTTTGTTGCTTAATCGGGTGCGGTCTGAACATAGCATACGCCTTTCTGAACTCCATCATGGAATGCATCCGCTGTGTTAAAATTTCAAGCAATCTCCTCTGACAACAGAGTTTGTTGGATTGTTTCATCTGGCCTATGGCTCCCAAAGCCTCCTTCAGTTCATCTCAACTTCAGTTTAATTTTCCCTTATTTAATATTCTCGACCTCTTCCTTCCGTAGCCTGTTGTTTATTTTTCCCTCCTTTTTAGATGTGTCTTTAAATAATAATAATTGTCTTTTCACAAGGGAGGATGATCATTTTGATCATGTACTATAAAAAAGTTTAAAAAAGAACATGTAATGGTAAAAATAGGAGTATTTAATGTCTTCCTATCCTCAAAAGAAAACAGGATTTATCAGGAAAACAAGCTTTGATAAGAGGCTTTATTCCCATAATTTTGGTTGGAGGCCTGAAGGGGTAGATTTGCTACTCTCTTAGCTATCACCGGTGTTTTATCTCTGGGATTTAATCAGAGGCGTTATCACTGGGTCGACGTTCAGACGTTCAGAGTAGGACTGTTTCTACCGGAGTGAAATACTGACAGATTGTAATGCAGCAGAGACTTATCAATGTTCCACGCTCACATCTCTGCTGCTGCTGTCTTTATCAGCGCTTGATGATTCCTGCCTTTGTTTGGGAATTTATATGTGATTAGATGCAAGCAGATCCAGTGCAGTCAGGACAGGTTATTCAACAGTTTGACCTAAAACATCATTCCACGCAGCTGTAAAGATGCAATGAGCTGATTTTGATCATCAACACATTCAAATAGGAAGAATCTGATGGAAACTGCTGTATAATGTTGGATAGTAATTTGTTTGAACATTATATTTGATTGATTGAACTGTTAAAGACACAGAACCTTGTTAGAACCACTTTTTGTGTCAGCAATCAACCCACTGCAGCAATCTCCTTGAGAAACACTTAGAGGGGTGGAGAATTTTGGGGAGGAGCATCAACAGATGGTTTCCTTTTCTTGTAGTTTAAAAAAGGAAAAATCCCCTTTCAAAAAAACGTCCACATTCTGCTGCAGAGAGATGCTGCTCGCTCAGGAGCTCTACCTTAAGGCGGTGCTGACTGATACTCTGGCGCTCTTTGGGGGATTGACTGTGGTTTTCTGCCTGTTGAAATTCACTTGGAAATGTTGGTGTGGACTCAGACAGTTTGTCTTATCAGAGCACTGGCAGCAGGATCTGCGGACATACGGGCAATGGGCAGGTAGAGAACAAGAAAATCATGTCAATCCGGAAAATCATTTAGTAAAAATTGTGTAAATTCTCTAAAGACAGGTTTCCATAGCTGTTATAATGTGGTTTTTTTTTTGTTTTTTTTACATAATTACAAATTCATGAATGATGAGGGGAGGTTTTATGTGTAAAAAACAGTTTTAGGTAGCTTAACCCCACACTGTAAATCCTCTTTATGAACTCATAAGAGTGTTTTATTTCTCACAATCATTTGCCGCATGTATAACCCCTCATCCTTGTTTCTCTTTTCTGTGTATTTTTCGGAAGTATATCAGAAATTGATCTAAAATAGATCTTTGTTTGAGTTTCAAACATTACAAATGTATGTTTTTTTTATGACTTGATACCTTACTAAATGAATTAATCTCTGATCTTTTTCTTTATCTAGTTGTTACCGGCGCCACATCTGGTATCGGTAAAGCTTATGCTTCTGAGGTGAGTCTGCTTCTCAGTTTCAAGGGAAATTTGGGTTTAGTTCTATTAACTGTATTTGATGCATGGACTCAAATAAAACATTCTGGTTATATCATGTTTTGAGCTTCTTTCAGACAGATCTACCGGAATGGTTTCTTGTTTAAGCTTAAACAGCTCCTATCGTGTCTGTCTTTCTCCAGTTGGCACGAAGGGGTCTTGATGTCGTCTTAGTAGGAAGATCTGATGTTAAGCTTCAAATGGTTGCCAAGGAAATCAGTGAGACGTTTACTGATGCTCTTAACATCAGATTTTTATTCAACGATAAAAAGGATTACCACACATGTGCTGTCTGCCTTAGGAAATGAGTATGGACGAAAGACTCACACCATCCAAGTGGACTTCACTGAGGGCGGCGGCATCTACTCATCCATTGCTAAGGAGCTCCAGGGCCTGCAGATAGGGATTCTGGGTAATACAGAAAAAACACACACAAAATGTATTATTCAACATTATGCACCAAGTTTAAACATTTTAAATTAGACACAATCTAAGTAGGTCAGCTGTCTTTAAAAATGAGTATCTTCTTTTGTTTTTAGCAGGTAAGTAAAAAACATTTGCAAGTTGAATAAGATTATTTACATTTATTTTGAGAAAAAATATGACCTTTTTTTAAAGGCATAACTACTCATTCAATTAGCTGATCATCGTATTTACCACCTACCTGCTTAAATAAAGGGCAATTACACACAATTTAAAAATTTTATTTGATTTTATTTTTTTGCTTTGTTTTATTATTTTGTTCTACTTTTTTACAATACTAATACTGAAGTAAAAAGTAAACAAAAAGAAAAAAAAAAGCATTTTAAAATAAATGTATTTGCACTTAATTTGAGCAGATTCCGAAAATAACCTGCCAATTAAATGTGCATGTTTCCCCTAGAATAAGATATTTAGCTATTATATACATAAAATAAGATGTTGGATTTGTTTTTATCATATTAGACATAGGCCATTGTATTTTATTAGCAAGTTGTCTTACTTACCTGCTCAAATCAAGGGAAAATAAACTTAAATCATTACATTGCAAATTCAGTCCCCAGACAAAAATGTCCTTATTCAAAAAATTCAAGAAACCAAATACTATGTTTCAGCAAGCTGATCTTCACTATGGTGAGCTTATAACACTTCTAGAAAGGCAGGTTTAGAAAATAATTTAATATAACTTTTCCTCTTTTGTTTAAAGGAAAATGAAGAAAGAAAATAACTCAAGTCAAATCATTGTTTAGCTCTCCTCTGAAGTTATGTTTTTGTTAATTTTAAAAGGCTCACCCATGTGCATATTTTCTGATTTTCTATACTTTACCTTACTCAAGTCGAAATAATGGCTGTCTATGTTTTATATATATATATGTTTATTAAGTTTTCAAAATACAGCATACATATATTTAACAATTTACTGTATAAGAAAAATATACTCTTACCAATATAACTATAAAAATAAAAACATGCAATAACTGAGGAAAAGAGAAGAGAAAAAAAAACACAAGTCAGGGAAATTATCTGCACTGATTACTATTTACACTTTAGGATGGTACTACCTATCCATGAAGGCATGGGCTGCATACTAAAAACCTGAGCAGGTGTCAGTGTTCGTCCTGGACTGAGAAAGATAGTCCAAAACCGGATACTACAGACTTTATTAGTGGAGCCCTTAACATGGTACAGCAGTTTCTCTAAACGAAGAATCTAAGTAGAATCACTTACCCACATTTTATTCTGAGGAATTTAGTCAGTTTTCCATAATCTTGATATTACTTTCTTAGCTATTATTCCATATGCCACAATCATTTGTGTAGCAATACCGCAGTTCAAAGTGAGGGAGAGTGTCCAAACAATGCAATCTGAAGGTCTAGCATCAGATTGCATTTATACACTTCAGAAAACAATTGGAAAATGTTGCACAAATATTGGAAGAGCTTAGAGCATGACCAGAGCAGATGTGTCAAGGAGCCATTAGCGGACTTACACCTATCACATTTTTAGGATATTGAGGGAAATATTCTGTGCAATTTCGTTTTCGAATAGTAGAGTCTAAGCAATACCTTCAACTAAATTAACTGGTGCTTAACATTGATAGAGGATGACCAAATCATCCTATAACTCACTCCCAAACTGTAAGCCCAGGTCCTCCTCCCATGCAGCCCTCAGGGAGTGCTATAGATACTTTACTGGAGTGGGTTTTTTTTAGACAACTTTTTACTTCTTAAATTTTTTTTGCAATTATCCCCTCTTTCTAGTCCTTACAGTTTCAAAATAAACTTGCTAGTTTTCTTTCATTTAAGCTCATTTTTGTTGTTGTTTGATAGTGGCTGCCTGGTGGAGAGATTTTTCCCGACAAAGTGTCACTCTGATCGCTTATGGGTTCTTCTACAACAAAAGAAAACTAATTAACATTTTTTTACCCTCCAGACCAAAAAGCAACCAAGTTGTTTAAGTGTTTAGTAGATGATTGCTGGCTGTTATTTTATAGTTTAAGTGACAGATTGTATTTATTAACAAGAGCTTATGAATCTTAAATCCCACAGTCAACAACGTTGGAATGACCTGCACGGATCATTTTGCTTATTTTCTGGAAACACCAGATGCTGAACAGGTGATCTATTTAAAGTGTCCCTGTTTAAGGTCCAAACACTGCATGGCTCAAACTGAGGCTGTTATGTGGGGATTACAATTCTTACCCTGCTAAACATCTGTTTATATCTATGACGCCATTTGCAAAGAAAAATATTTGATCAGTGTTTACATTCTTACTGTCATTTTAAATATATAAAGTTTTTCTTTAAACTGTCAGTTCTATTGTCTTTTAACCATTGTCATGGATGCCATTTTGTGGTTTCTTTATTTTTCGCCTTTGATTGCCATTTTGAATAGATTTTAAGGGATGCATGAATCTGTTTTATTTTTATGTTTTCTTTCTGCTTTACCACTGGCACACTGAAATTCCCCCACTGTGGGACAATAAAGGATATTTCTATTTATTTTTGGACAGAAAATAACTCAGATCATCAACTGCAACATGCTGTCTGTACCCCAGGTGAGTTAACTTAGAAAACAAACCATCCAAAATGTTTTTTATATCTTTATTTGCTTGTAATATTTATAAAGAGATGAACATGATGTCACAATGCAGATGACCAGACTGGTTCTTCCTGGGATGGTGGACAGGTATCCACAGATACATCATTATCTGCAGCTAATTGTGATGATAGGGTAAATAGGTTAGCTTAAAGACATTTGTGTTTCATCTCATCCCCAGAGGCAAAGGATTAATTATTAATATCTCCTCCGAAGCGGGCGTCCGTCCACACCCATTGCTCGCTCTTTATTCGGCCACTAAGGTATGTATCTGGTGTTTATATTAAAACAATAAATATCCAAACAGGCTCACCCGATCACCTACATTTACTTTTTTCTATACTTATGTGCAGATTTTTGTAACGTATTTCTCCCAGTGTTTGCATGCTGAGTACAAGTCAATGGGAATCACTGTCCAGGTAAGATCTTACTGTGTTTATGTCAATGTCAAGATATATCTACAACTGAAATACGTTGTAGATAATTGGTTAAATTATTGTTTTATATAATGCAATTGATTTTGAGTACAAACT